CCGCACATTCTGTGGCCGTCAATAAACAGGCCACTGCCCGCAGTCAGCACAGCCACGACAGAACAGACTGATTCTAAAGGACGTATCGTGTTCCAGGGCGTTCCCTAGCCTGCGCTTGGTTCGCTGGTTTGCTGGCCTACTAGCACGCTTCAGTTTAGTCACTTGACAGTCTTTTTCACAACGGCACCTTTCTCAACATTGAGTTCACTTCTTCCCAGCATAGATTAGTCCACTTCCGCTAGCACTATCATCACCACTGTGAGGGCCACTTGATAATCAGCAGTAATAACTAACGCTGCGACGATTAAAGGCCGACGGGGAACCCTTTCGAGTGCTACGGTGGGCCGCAAGCCGTAGCTCTGCCGCACGTCTCTGTGCTCGGCCACCTTCACGAGCATAAGAGTGACATGGTTCACGAGATACGGCACTCTCGGCAGTCCAAAACAGTTCAGCAAACAGACCGACAACCATCAACGCGGAGAGCGGGAAGTGACCACCAACATGTGAGCTACTGTATGGAGGCGTTCCGAGATTCTTAAATGTTCGGAGGCTACCGCGTATACTCGGGCAAATGCTTAATCTGTTAAAATAACATGAGGCGCAGCATATGTATCCCTTATTGAAGTATAAAAATCGTTTAATACAAATAACAATGACAAGAATGATGTTGACATCTTCGTCGAGATGCGTGGACAGATCGAGCACCAAGATCACTTCCTGATTTCGTGCTCTGTAAAGGTTGTACGTACCAAAAAACACTCAATAAAAAGCTGTCTTCAATTAGATACATTATATATATAGTCATAAATTGGTCATGATAGGTAGAGAGTGCGTATTACTAGAGGCTGAGTGATACGAATGGTGAACTGTTTTCCTTAACCTCATCTTCCGGCTACAACCTTTATAAGAGCCCTGAGGCTTCTATTATTTAATATAAATGACTTATCACTAACCGCCATGCTAAGTGACTGAAAAATAAATGTATATTATTTTACTTATGCATTGCAGCTCAATACAATTATAGACTTTTATACATTCGTTAAAATAGGTATTAAGAAAATCCCGCCGAAAGCTGCAATGCGTTCCGATATTTCCTGATGTCCTAATTTGTTACCAATTAGCAATGGAAGGGTACACAATTTACATTTGCCAAAGTACGTGGATAGCGGTGACAGTATATACTGCATAATATAGAAGTCTCAAGCGTCTTATTATTATTTTTGCCTTCGCTTTATTTTGTAACGTTTTTATTTCAAAGAAAGAAGTTCCTACTCCTATAGCCTATTGGGCCTCGACAGGTAGCGTGCATCCCGACACATGCAATGCTTGCATTCTGTTTCTGCGCGATTTGACAGTTAACCACAGTCGACCATTGGGTCATGCATTCGCGTCTGGCTGGTTGCTTTGAGCTGACTGGTCCCCGCCGCACGTGTCTTAAGAGACTCCAGAAATAGCTAGAGCAGAACGTGACCACGTTGTTATACAATACCCATCATTGTGTTCGTGTCATTTTAAAAAAAAAACAACTGCACCGTTTGTTCTCCTCACAGATATATTATCTCTGCGTTACGGTTGCTGTCGCCGTCGATCTTCTTTCTCGGCTATACGACACATTTTGCCGCAGCAGTTATCACAGCAGACATTACAGAACATCATAACTACATGGGTATATCGTTATCACAGCTCGGACCTCTAAAGGCAACTTTTTCTTCGGGCCTATGCACCTTGCTCGCCCTAATGGCTAGGTAGGCGTTAGTGTTCAATCTAGACGGAATGATCGGTAATTTTATGGTTGTTTCCCTTAATTTTTTGATCAGCGTCATATAGGCGTTATCGATATGCGATAGTCATTCTTTCGTAATATAATAGGATAACAAGATGATTATGTAAAATGCCGCGTCTGCAAGCTGGCAGTTTGCTGACTGAACAAGACAAATCAACAAAGTCGTTACTGGGATACGCTTTGCAAAAGAAGGCAGTGTTATACCCTCATCCACGACCGACATCGGTGAGTACCGATCGTTCACCAGTCGGACGGCCGGAGGGGGGAATTTCACGCCGTTTTATGCTGTGCTCGTTATTTAGGTTTCCGCCGAGCTACAAATGCAATACATCCCCATTAATCCCCCCGTTGTGTTCATCGTTCGTTGTCGCTGTCGATATCGTAGCCGGCCTGCTAATGAATATGATCCTGAGCGAAGCACGTTTCGCATTTGTGTGTAAGCGCGTCGCTTCTAACTACTACTCCCAGCCAACCCGCGTCCCTCGGATGCTTTCTTCTCTTCCTTCTGCTCATCTTTCCTCATAGGCTGATTGCGGTGGACTGTGGACAGAATGGCAGTCAACTGAACAGCAAACAGCTCAATGTCAGCGGTAAATAGCGAACATTGGATTTGATGAGCGTGTTTTCCACATGGCCCTTATTCAGCACGTTGCGTTCATTATTAGCGCGCCCACTACGCCGCTGGCTTCCTGTACATAGGCAACGGTAGTGCCGATGGTAGCTAAGTGACGCTTACGTAGCAGATCCCCGCAGGGGGCAGCCAGTCGATCGCAGGCACCAACATCGCTATCGTCTGTACCCGCGGCGTCAGTTAACGTCCCCAATAGCGTGACTCCTGGCAACTGTCGCCCCGATCAAGCCGATGATGTACGCATCTATCGCTGCTGTTGCAAAAGACTAGTACTTATCGCCGTCTTACCCTTGATGACGTTATTCACTATACATTGCAGAAAGCAGGAATAACAAATAGAGACGAACTATTATAAATGTTTATTTCACTGCTACGTTGACGTACTACGTTAAGTACTCGTGTGATCAACGATGGGTCGCTCCGTCCCCGCTGCGCACTGACTGAAATCGCTGCTAAATATCGGCGACCTTATGATTGCCAAGCGTTCGTGTTTCGTCGCCCTTTAAAGATTGTTGGCTCTTCCTGTTGATACTAATGTATATAAATAGATAAAAGCCAGTTAAATCTATCGATGAGAAAAGGTAGATCGTTAAAGCTCGAGCCATTTTACTGCTATAAGCCCGTAAGTGTAAATGTTAACAAATAAATGGCCATCCAAAATGGTCCGCTTTAATAATACTGAGAGGTTAGATCGAGCAGAAACGTGCAGACTGGAATTGGGCTTATTAACAATGTTTAGAAGGGCAAGTAAACGTAATTTTTTTTCAGGACGTAATAGTGTTGCCTAAACGAGTACGTATCAAATTTTCAAGAGTTTCGAATCTTTAAACGGCTTCTAGTGAAGCATTATTTACATTGCACATTTTATATTACACTAATAAGACTGAACGGCTAAATTAACGTATGATGTAAATGAAGTGTACCAGCTGTGCTGACGACGAGTACCCACTGGACTATCGATAGCAGACGTAGATAGAACTGTTTCAAAAAATTATAACATTAACCGACCCGAAAGAAGCTTACGTGTCGGCGCTGATAAGGCCGTGGGCAGAGGGCAGCGCGGTCAACTATGATAGTTCGTATTCACGTACGCAACCATCTTAATTCTGTCTTTTTTGACACAGATGTATTCATCTCGACTGTTTCTTTCTCAGTCCGTTTAGCACTGAATTCAGATGCACGGGCACACATACTACGACTATTACGTCAACTACTACAGATGACGACAGAACTCAGAACGGCTGACGTGATTCGTAACGGTCGTAGGTTAATACGTCGTAATTTCTTTTAGATAAAACGACGTGAGACCAAATAGCCGGTGAAGTTGAACGATGACGTATTCGCGAAAAACCAGATGAATTAACATGGGCTTCCCTTTCTATAAAAAAAATATTAGGCAAGGATACGCGATACAATTAAAACGGGCCATCCATGTTGATTGGAAACTAATTGTGCTTACCACGATTCGCGTGTTAGTCATCAAGATGCTTGTGAACCATTTTGTTCCACATTACAGGTTTGATTTTTAACATGCAACAATGGGCCACGTAAATACCGGAAGGCTTAGGAAAAAAACAGTACATGATCAGGCCGCGCCTTTGACGGCCAAAATTCTGCGCTGCGGCATTCGTTTAGCACGGGCTTAAACTCCCATTTTAAGAATTATCCAAGGTTCTTAACCTACCCATTGTTATGTCATTGTTACACCTACTGCCTTCCATTTATAATGAGTATCCTCAATGAGGACTTCAATAAGTAATATCAACGCGAATGGCTTACTAATGTTTTCGTAATTTTAATTTGAATAAAAGTAACTGACACTGATCTTATCGGTTTAATGAATGAACGAATGAATCGGCTAGCAGGGCCGTCGTCCAAATGTTTTTTTATCGCATAGTGTTTAATAATTTGTAATTTCTGCCTAACGCTGCTAAGCTTCACCCGTTCCGTGGCCTGGCAGATACCAGATAATTGGTTAGTCTGCTCGGCCATTAATCCTAGCATTTCTACTATGTACTTACAAACCAATCGGCTGGCTAAAGTAATCGTATATGGGCCCAAATATAGCCAGCTGTATATATATATATATATATATAGAATGTATCATAAACATGTGCGTGCATGTATGTTCATGCACATGTACCTTGCATGGGAAGCTTGAACGTTACGCGTTCCGGAGAAACTAGCTAGGACTACTAACGATTTATGTTGATCACCTGGCTGTTGTGAGCTGTGGGTAAGCACTGAACTTTTGATGGTGTCCTATTAGCCCTTACGGAGTCTATCTAACAAAGACGCCCAAAGCAAGGACATTTCGCTAGGGCAGTTGCCCGTAACGACTGCCATCGTTCTCGCTGTTGTTGACCCTTGATCTAATGACGCTTCACCCACTCTTGCAGCCAACTATCATATTAATATTCACTCTTAAGAAAATTACTAACTATTCATGGAATCAGTACGGTCGTTTAAGAAACACCTAAATAGTTCGACTGATATAAACAGAAAGTCATAGAAGCCATAGCAGAATATATATTCTCGAGCAAAATCACCAATAGTTGAATTTAATAAATTTGTGCTATTTATTTTATTGCGTGCATTCACAATGCGTACAATAATAAAACGGATTTTACTGTAAAAAAAAAACAAAACTAGTTGTATGCTTATAGCTGGCACGATGCAAGCCACGGTCAGTATTTGTCCCTTGGCGACGAGTCCAGAGTGCTGTGAAAAAAAGCATTTAGCGGCCATTTATGATATATTCTCTATTATGTCGATTGAAGCACCTCAGCTAGCCCTTCTAGATGCTCTCCTTGTTTATGTACAATATAATTATTTACTTTCTGTATTATCGAGGTGATCCAAGAAGGCATATCGTAGTCGGACGTTTAACGCAAAGCCACTTCTCAACGTCACTGTTGCGTGAATAGCGTATCGATTAAGACAAGGTCAGGTTTTTCGATAGTGACCTATTTGGAGAACCTGAAAGTGGTGTGCTCAACGTCCACTTGAAACTAGTCAAATACAAAGTCCAATGCAGATAACAGGGTGTACTCATTATCATTTTCTACAACAATTCTTTTGCCTGCACAACAATTTGTGCAAGCATTACAAGCATAGAACGGCTCACGGAACGGGATTATTTAGTTCGGGGGCTAAAACGCGGAAGGCGGGGTATTTACCGGGCCCACCTAAACAAGGACAAAGCATTTGTCGTCCCACTTGCCTTTAGTTACAGGCTAGGAAGTGACAAACTCTTAATTGCTGACTGTCGATCAAGCCATGAAATCAGGAAGGCGACAAAGCACTACTACTAATGCTGACGCTCTATCTAACAGCGTCAGCTGGACTGGTATTACTTTTATAGCAGGCATAACACTATTACCTCAGGAGACATTTGCATCGACAGGCTCAGAATGGTGGCGGATGAGGCGGTTTCATGGCGTTTACAGTATACAACACTCGTATTGCAAAAGCAAGTTCGACAGCCAGCCAGCCAGCATCTTGTCAAAGGAAGGGATATGGTGACCGTCTGCCTCGCCTATCGTAATGAGCCAGCTACGACACGATATTTGAAATATTGATACATAGACGCGCGAATGTATGGAATACTATAGACCCATCGTACATTATCGAAGGGCAATAAATAGATGACGGTGGAAAGGTTTTATTTCGTCAGTTTGCAGATGCTAATTGATGAGGTGTATGGCAGGATTTCATAACGTTGTTAAATGCACAGGGTATACAGGCCTGCATGCACACGAATTCAAAAGAGAGTACCTTCATTGGATACAGAAGTAATCCTTTTAACTTAAGTATTATTCACAGTCGCAGGCAATTTTTTAATCGTGGAATAATAGTAATTATGTTCTAATCTACCCATAGGCAAAGCCCAATGCAACAAATGGATGCGTCACGTCGGCCAAACAAGCATTATCACCTACCACTCACAGATGTCAGTATATACCGACCCAGTACCAGACTTTTTCATCTATTCACTGATAATTTAAACGATGACCATTATACATTTAATATATACCGATTTAAACAACGATACATTCAATGATTGATCATTCAATTTGGGTCGTCCAGGCAGAAAATAGGATCTAATGTATTTCGTTAATTACTAGTCTGAATTATATTAATGTAAAGCCTATCAATGCGAATTTTAGCCCTAATTTTGAGATGTTAATTAAGATGTCGGTGCATGCGTACAAAATATATTCCGCTTATTTTTTTCCCTCACTGTTGATATACAAAATGACATCTTCACGGATGATAGGAGCAAGCAAACCTTCGAACTTGACCTAATATTGATCGTCCTGACCGACTGGTTTAAATGAAAATAAAACGAGAAAAACACAAATTGAAGTTAGGGCAAATTGAGCATTGCGAAGAAACCTCAAATACAGCTGACTGAGTTCGAAACAACTTAAGTCTGTCATATATCTTTCGTTTCATTGCTTGCCTGCGCACCTCACAAAACGATACCACGAAAATACCTACAAAACAAAACTTGTCAGTGTCTCGACCTGGCAAATACTCGGACGTTCAACTAATACGTTAGATGTGTTCTGTTGATTTAACTAAAGCAATTATAGATATCAGAACAACCAATGTACGACGGATTTTCCAAGGTGATGGGAGACCCCGTCTAGATAATGCTGTTACCATAGCTTAGATCACGAAAGCCAAAACTAGCCCAATGAGTGTTTATTGTTCGATGTTTCTCTCAGAGTTATCATGGTTGATTGGAACGTTTAAAGGATCGGTGTTTTCTTCTGTCACTGAAGTTCGATCAGGGGCATTTCCAAGTAGCAATGAAATGGTTATTAATTCATAGTTAATGCTGCGTTGATTCAAGCAGGTGCGATTGACACAGTTAGCTGCTGTGTTCGCGCAGACGATGATCGATTAAGTAGTAACAACAGCCGAATAAAATAGTTACACTCGATGAGGGCTGGTACCCCCTCGCCCGACGAAGGATATATACCGACCACGGATCGGTCCACGACGAGCATCGATGTATCTACGATATTATCACATTTCCATAGAATCGTATACAGAAGACGGTCATCCAGCAATAAAACAACGACGTCGTTCTGGTACATTGCAAGAATCAGCTAGTCACATACAGAGATCCATGCTACATCTATTACCTTACCAAATATACTGACAAAAGACAGTGATTTCTTAGAGACTGTACTCAAACGTCAATAAGTCAAACAATGAATAACTTCCATGCAGAAAATTAATGAAGCTGCACATATGATTGTTTTTTTTTTGTCGTAGAAATGTTGTCCTTATCGGATAATTTGCAAATATTCGTTTAGGTTGTTAGTGTTTTTTTTTTAGCCTTAGGACGAACTGGCACATATTTTCGTTGCTTAATGATAATAGTTGGACTGTTTGGTCTCTTCTCAGACACGTGCAAATCAAACTATCTTCTATTGTTGAAAATGGTTGTTGACTTTAAAAATTACGGTAGATGTTACAACAATTCATTTACGTCAATATTGAATGTGTTAAAATTAAAAAAATAACACGTTTCCAATATTTCTTAGGATGATCAAATTATGGTCTATTCTTAAGTTGTGTTGACTACATTTTATCAGGGAATTATATAATCTTAACGATTCTAACTTGCGTCAAGTGTCTTAGTTTTTCATATTCCTTGATTACACAAAGTTAAATTAATTGAAAAGGGCACTATCGTTTCACAGATGGCTCTACCAAGCCATTGATAAAAACAGAGACCGACGGAAGCTATCCCAGATACTTTCTGCCGCAGTTGCTACCCTTTTGGAGTTTTGCTTTTTTTTTTTTTTTTTTTTTTTAAATTAAATAAAACACTCCAAAAGGAAAAAGCTATGGGCTAAATTCTGTGAAAAAATAGCATACATCTGTGCGTTATCTCGAGAAACTGTCTGTTATGTAGGAAAATGGCTCTTATCAACGTTTTGATACGTATCGGCTGTCAAATAAAATTGGCCCTGAGACAATTTTTTTTTTACAATATTACCACGAAATGGTAAAAGAAAAAAAACTCTTTTACAATAGGGTGTATAGCGATTTTCGACCCAAATGTGGATCTTCTATGTATTATACACAGTTTTAGTTGAAATTTTTTTAGGCGAATCTCGTGGACATGCTATGTGTATTTAGACACAAACATATTTTTAGTGGCATTTTTCTAAGAATTTTATAAACAATGCAAACAATTGCTTGATAACAAAAAAAAAAAAAAAAAAAAAAAAAAAAAAAAAAAGTTGAAAGACTGCTAATTGCTAGATATCGCTAAAAGACTGTTTTTCTGTTCCATTTTGGCTGAACGATAAATCGCATTTGTATTTAAATAACTCAACGAGCGTGATTAGAAAAAAGCCAGGTATATGTCTTCTAATGAATACATCTACTTTTCTGTGTGTTTGCAGCTCATTCAAAAATCGAATAGACAGTAGGAAGAATAATAATTGTTTATAAATCGCAGCACGCTTGTTATTTGGGTTACTGCATTGTATAGGCCTTTTGGGCTGAATAAAAGTGCAGCACAAGGCCGTATTGTAATTGAATATTCCAGATTCACGAAATATGTAAAAACTGTGACAAGAAACGTGCACAACCTTTATGCGAAGTGCATACTTGTATTTCTACTTGGGCTCTAATAACCTAGTAAGTATGCACTCAAAAAAAATCAGAGTTCAATATTGAAGTTTTCTCTTTATCCGTGAAGTCCTCAAACGAAGATATGATCATTTCGAAATGGTCAAGTTTCCTTCGAATCAAATCCTATTTTTACCCTAATGAATTCTGAAGGTGAAAATCGAATTTCATTAAAACCCATTGTTTTGTTGACACTGAGTCTGAGGCTCAAATATAGTTGGCCAATTTGAATATCTATCTGCGCATGGTGGAAAAGAAGGACAGGAATATTTACCGAGTTGCCGTTTAGGTAGACTCTCCTTTATTCTAGTGAAGCTCTCGCGAAGCAGTGAGGCCCGACTAGCCATCGGCTTGTTTCGTGGTTGTTGAAGCTTCGTGACTGGTTTCTCACTCTGTAACGGCGTAATAGAGCATTTGGTATAACGGTCATTCGTACTGTGCTTATGTGATTTTGCAGGGGATACTTGAAAGACGGGAAACCTTAAGGAGAAATGACGACTTAGATTATGGTTTCTCAAGTAAGAATAAACCTGTTCACATCGCACGTAGAACTGCGTTGAGCACGTTTTTTGTCGAGCAATTTTGTTTAACGTCTAACAACTATACTTCAGGACGATTATGTTACTCAATGTTTTCCCGACGAGGCGTGATAATAACATTAGTACCTTCTTGGCATGGTCCATCGCAATCACAACTTTTTTTGCATCCAAAGATGGATTAGAAGGCCCGAGAACTTTACGTTCAACGCCACGGGTTCTCGAAGTTGAAACCTAAAAGGATTCACAGTTGAACTACATTAATTCACATTATTATAAATTCGACTATATAGTATAATCAGAGCAATTGATACTTTGACTGCTTCTAATAAGTATAAATGATCTGTACAGTATTTGGAGCTTATGTCCGTAACAGATTTCTAAAACTAGATTGTAATAAATGTAAAAAAAACGCAGCTTATCTTGCGAGCACGCCATTTTTCTTAATACGTTATGCATTAGTGTGCCTTCTACCCCAAATTCTGCTCTTTTCACCAAAGAGGAGAGTATATATATATATATATATATATATATATATATACGAGAGAGTACCTGGCCAGCTGAAAGGATTGTCGAGTTGGATTTGCTGGGATTTTGCAGGTTACTACTGCGTGTTGAAGTTATCTGGTGTAGTCGACTGTTATTCAACAAAGTTTCCGGAACGCGCGAAGACGGTGGGCTTCCAATCTTACTTCGAGGATTCACTCCTGCGGCGCCGCGCAACGGAATTTTGTTTAGTGCCATTCCAGCGAACGAAGAATCAGGATTATAATTCTCCTGTTAAAATAAAGGCAATTTTAGTTGTAGTTAGATGAAATTTTTTGTATTTTTTTTTATGTATTTCTTCCTGTTATGTCTCGGTATTTCACAGTGATGTAATAGAAAATTCAACCAAGATGGCCTGAGCTTGCAGTTCGTCAAGCCAGACTAAATCAGGTAAAAAAAAAAATGTGTTTTCGTATAGTCTCGTCACAGAATAATCTCTTAGTGTTTTGCGGTACTAATTATAATTAAAAGCATTTTCAACCTAAACTTAGAGGGATTATTGCCTACCATCTGCTCAACCTGCAATCTCGACAGAACAAAAAGTGCCGCTTACCGACCTTAGCAAAATTAGAGTGAAGTTTTTATGTGCGCATTAACTGAATATTCCATACAGACAAACAGTACTTTAATTCAATGATTCCACAGGAAAAAAGGGGCCTATGCGTACTAATGCTATCAAAGTTTTACGCTAAACGATACACGTTGGTGCAGAACTAAGATAAGTGAATATGTGTGCTCTTAGGTTATTTGACCCCTATTATTATTAACCCAGAAAATTGGGTTATTTGGTCAAATCAAGAGAACATCTAAATAATGAATCGTCACCATGTTGCTTCTTCGAAATGGTAATGTTGTACTTATTTTAACTTAAAACTGCTTTGCTTGTATGGGTATGCTGTATATACGCTCTGTATAACGCTTGATACATCTCCCCCATGAACCAGATATTTTCGACGACAACTGTTAGCGTCCCTAGAAGGATTTCTCCTAACACTTCCGAGTACCTATAACGGCTTGATGCTAATTAGAAAGGCCGCGCGCCTTATTATTATTATCATCATTAAAATCCTATGCCACAAATTTGATTCGGACCTAATTAAATGTCACTAGCTGCAGTCACTTACAATTCCAGGAACACAAAACAGTCTTCTTAAGGTTGTTGCATCGTTCGATCAGTCGCTTTGTTCCGATTCAATTTGTTTTGATGAATGATTTGCTTGCTACATGTAAATATGAGGTCGAGTGCTACAAGCTAACGATATTCGTCTTTTAGGTACAGAGTAGATCCTAATGTAGTCATATCCTATTTACCGCTGATACTGAGATTATAAAAACGTAATCCCTTGCAAATGTTGCCCGTACCGGCTAATAGATCGAGCGGGAGAGAAAGATGTGCGCGGACAGCCCCGAAACAAACAGATTTACGCACCATTCGCGTGAACACCGCCGCGGATTGATTAGTAGGAGTTTCCAAAGATGAAAGAGTAATAACACGAATAAATATCTATGCAGGTTATCTTTTATAATAGATATTTACTGATGATAGCTACCAACATTACACAAAATAGTCACATAAGATTATCTATAATCGATATAATCTTATCGATAATAAATCTACATGTACTGAATAATTATCTATCAATTTTCAGCACAATGAAGTTGTATATAATTCATTTTCTTATCATAGTAGCTGGAAATTTTGCGATTGTTACCGTTAACTGCTGTTGCTGATTAGCGAGCATACGCCAAATATCGCTCTCGCTTAATCGAGTTTCCTGTAGGAACTCTTCGAAACTTCCACTTTTACGCGATACAAGCGATGTACAGTCTGTGTCGAGACTCCAGGGTTCATCTAAGGACATCGAACACGGAGAAACTTCTTCGATCAGGCGTCCCAGAGGAAAAACCTGAGATGCATGCACACACAACACAAAACCAGAAGCAGATCCTCCATTGAAATCAGTGAGCTAAAAATTAGCTGGCTAAAGGGCCATGGCACCGCAGTTGAAAGCTATAGATATCACGAATTGAAATAGAGAAAAGCGTTATTCGAAAAACTACTTTCGAATAAAGTACGTCAACGTTCGCTTAAGAGAGATGGCGGCTTATAGATATGCTAAAATTGTCCCGTAACAGGTAATATGCTTGTAAAACAGCTTAGAAACAAAAACGTACACATTAGTGTATGCTAGCCGCATGTGGAATGGTCGAATCAACATTATCTGCATAACACATTACAGTATATCATACTGTTCTAGAGGGCGTTCTCGCAGATATAGGTTGCGCTACTAATGCTCGATTATATATCGTTTATCGAACGATATGATTTGCGGTATTCTATATCAGCCTTATCTATCAATAGTTACGTTCATTTTGAATGTGTTCTTGCATTAATAGGACTTACTGGATGACAGTCTTTCTAGCTAATCCACAAACTATAAGGCTTGTTAATTATTATTAGCTCCTTATGAATTATTCCAGTATAAGAAACTGATTTGATTAAATGCAATCGGTGGAGAAAATCAAGCCCCTGGTGAGTATATGTCTGTATCATCTATTGATTGTTACCTTGTAAGCAGGCACATAAATGCCGTGGTTGTTTCTACAGTAGAAATAACGAACCCCGTACTTTTCTCCATTATGCCTTCCCACTGGTTCGTCAAGTTCTACCCCACACCAAATGCCAATGGCGAAACGGATCTCGCCTACGTATCTTATCGTCCCCATTTTAGCGCCCTGCAATTATTACGGCAAAATAACGATCGATTTTTAGTTCAAATTAATTATCTGTAAAAAATATATATATATATATATATATACATCCACTTTTTGTATGTAACAGCAAATTCAATCGAGCATATCGTTCTCTTTAAGGATCGCAACTTAAGTTACAAGGTCCTCTCGCACAAAAAGCTACTTTATTGAAAATCATGAGGAACCAGCACACCTGAACGTACTACATGAATGTACCTTTTCGACAAAGAGAACACTTTAACTAAAATATTCAACTTGAATACATACGTATATAATTGAGAGCTTTTACCAAAACACAAGGGTTCTGCCTTTGATGCTAGCAAATATTTAGTGGTAGCTGTTTTTGGTCCTAAACGCCGCTACAACGGATGCGCTGTTGTACAGACCTGAATTAGATTTCTAGGGATAACAAAAAAGCTAAGAAAAAAAAGATTAAAATAATAAATCATATGTTAAAATAATAAGCCCACATTAGCTAAAACTAGAGGATAACGTATTACCTTTACCACTACCCGAACGCCAGGAGCAAGATCACTTCGCGGCCGTCTCACGAACGTAGGACTACGTTCAGATAGTCCTTTTTTTCCCTTTTCAGAAACTTCACCATTTTTGGTTCCGTCCTCTTCCCCTGCAAGACTGCCACTCTCGAGCAGAACTTTCGAGGGCCGCACGGGCCCTTGCCGAAGTAGCATCGTTCTTGATGCTGAAAAATTACAGAGCATTGTGTAGGCCATTAGAATCGCACAGATGCTTCAACTAAGAAATCTGAAATTAAACACACTGTGATATATCTAATCTTTACTATCATCTACGCCGAACTTCTAATAATATACAAAACTTCTGAAACCAAATAACACGAGTGTAATCGAAATCAATATCATCACACTGAGTCGAGTCAGTGAGCCCAAGGAGCACAAGGGGAATATATCCAAGCTTTTTTTTGCAAAGGTTAACTCCTCTCAGAGCCTCTGTCGCTGCGATGGCATTAAACACTTGTGGCACAGTCAAGACCAAGTCTAAATACATCGCGAGTAAAATGTGTAGTGATGTTTATACAGGTTGAATATAAATTCACAGAGAAATAAAGGCAAAAACATAAATAGATTGATAAAATCGATGAATTTTAAATAACGACTGAAGCAGAAGCTACATAACCGTAGGTATGGCGCTTTTGATTCATTAACATCGCTGATGGCCGATATGCCAAATACCTACTTTTACAGCAACCTTATAATTTCTGCTCGACAGACGCTACATGAAGAAACGGTCAGGTATTTAAATTGTCGTTCAAATGAAATTGAAATTAAAATTACATAGGCTCGAATTGCCTTCAAGCTTTTATGTATAAGATGAGCGCGTAGACGATGTCTCCTAACAATATTTGCCGTAGTCATATAAGAACTGTGTATCCTGCTGAACTTGTAAAAAGAGCGTATTTTGCATCTTCTGATATTAACAATATCGTGTTTCGAAAGAGGAAATAGGCGTAAATCGCCCTCGTAAGCACAAACATTTAAATAAAGGGCGATTATATAAGTAGCACCATTTAACTACTCGCAGCCATCCATAATCTAATTAAACTCCGTTTCGAGAGGCAGACACATATTGCGTTACAAGGATGCAGGTAGTTCTACATATAACACTAGTTCAGAGATAGAAACGACCGAAAAAAATTGGCTCAATCTTATGAAGCTACAGGAATCTTTCACGCCCTTAGCCCTATAACATATTGCGCTAACCTTTTTAGGATTATTGAATAAAGATGAACTATCTAAGATAGTCAATCAAACCATTTAAGTGACGCGTTTTTCATCTATTCGTGTGTTAACATTGAATTTAAATGTAAAAGCGGAGGAGCAAGTTACAGCGGCTAACACAAAATACTAACACAAATAGGAAATGTGGAACTCAGATGGCCTTTAGGCTTATGGGCCAGGCACAGATTGAGTTCTAGTTTTTAATCTCTGTTTATAAGATGATCTGCTGAAAAATGTACACATCACAACTATAGTACCTTGAACGGCTGCAGGCCTGTTCAATCGCCGATGCGGAATGTTAACTATATAAGTGGTTATTATACTACAGCAGTTCGGCGGTTTGTCTGGTTAACTCGTTGTATCGCACAAATTAATTCTCGGAGATGTTTGCATCAAAGGATTAGATACTACGCACGGTACTTTTTTCCACCGTAGCGTGGGAAAAGGGTATCTCAATACAATGCATGTTCTTTAACAAGACTTCACAAGCCAGGAGCTAATGCAGGGCCTTCGGAACCTACTGCTGGTTAAGAGAAAGTCTGAAGCGAGCATCTTAAATACGGCATCGTTTTGGTCCGGTGCTGGACGCGAGTATTTATTAATGTTTACGTACTGATACACTCCCAGCTCGGTAGCTAGATGCTATCCTATTAGTAGCTAGATAGTGAACCCCAAAGAAAAGGGCAGTTTTATGGCATCGTCATCATGGCAAGGTGATATGTAACAGTGACAAAAAGTTTTTGCTATGAGCTGCTCTTCGCTTTGCTGCTGAAGTGTGTAGATGCCATCCCAACGGAGCAATATGGGTTCCGGAAGGAACATTCCACAGAAACGGCCTGCAGCATCCTGATGACCAACGTCAGAACTGGCTATGTCCCGCAATCCAATATGCGCGGCGTTTGTCGACTTCAATACAGCCTTCGACTCGGCGTCCAGGAACAAGGTTATACTCACGCTGGCCGAGTTGGATATCCCTATGGATATACTCAACCTTCTAGTGGCGATTCTATAGGAGAACAGAAGCACCACCGACGAGAGAATGGTTGAGCCCTGGCCCCTTACACAGCCAATGAGCTTGTTTCAGGGAGACAACCTACGCCCACTCTCATTCTCCATGTTGCTAAAGAGTCTTCCTGGTCGAATAAAGGGCCAAAAAATTAATCGGAATCATTTTGTATCCAGACAACTTAGTGATATGCGAGTCGAATAAATTGTAAGTGCCGCAAGCTCTGGCCCAGCTACACGCCCTAGTCACAGACTTAGGACTGACCGTAAACTTGGTTAAGATTGAGGCGATGCAATTTAAGGGAAGAGACAGAACAGCGGCCACTGATACCTGGTACCTCGCCAAGTTACCTCTTTTCTAAGTGAACCGGTTTCGTACCTAGAGTTGCTTTTCTCCGCAAACGGCAGAAGTTTCACTACGCACATCGGCGTAGTGACGCAACTAGATCGCCTCATCGCTGGCCCCCTGGAAACCGTTCTCAATTTGTTCGACCTCTTGTAGCTCCGATTGTAACATATGGGGTACGCACCATTTAGGAAAACTTTACAGCAAAGAACTTCGAATAATTAAATGGCGTCTTTCATGAAAGAGCACTGGGACTACACACAGTGATGTGATATGGCCTTACGTATCTCCTAGCTGACTGACCACTGCTATCCTAACGCCCACGTCATCGCTTTGAGCTCCTAGTAATAAAAGCCTTTAAAACGAACTTAGACACAGCGAGTGAAAATTCGGGTAAATTAATGGGGATTTGATTGTTTCAGATGCGATAAGGTACCATGGGCGGAAAGAGACGAACCGGTTCAACAGAAATTTTGTCACTCATTTATCGTGCATTGATTGTAGGATACTAGGTTTCCACAGGTCCGACGACACAGGTGGGGCCCGAGAGCCGAGGGAATTTGTGATAGATATTGTACCGCCCGACGCCTCTTGGTGCCATCTCTAGGAGATCTGGATAATCTTTCAAACTAATTATAGTTCAACAGAGCTCATATAACCCATATGATGGAAACTGTTTTCAAATGGTCCTATATATCCTCTTTCATACTGGGATACTGTGCTATTGACCTGTATTTATGAATTTCTTTTTATAAAGCTGTTGATTACTATCAGCAAAGGTGGAATCACAGAGAATGTTCACAGAACTAATCAACTAATTATTCAATAACCTTTACTAATATATCTTTTTCGAATCGGTAATTGCGTAAAACATAGGCGTTCATTTGTGTCTTGGGTTCCCTGGTAGGCAGTAAAGGACACATTCGTTAAAGTTATCATAGAAACAACATCATTGACAACGTTTACCTGCCATGTTGCTCACGTCTATTGTACCTGCTTACAAAGTTAACAAACTATTTATATAAATTCGGCTATGAAACTAGCGTCGCGTCATTGTCGCTCCGTTGATGTTTCCTGTGATTAAAACTCTAACAGAAATAATCGCATCGTACTTTTCTACAGAATCTAAAATCGTGATATTTTACGTATTACGCTTCTCGAAGCGAGTACATCGTTTGAATTACACCTGTAATGGTATTGCACCGTAAATACAATAGTCGTATAGCTCAGTGTCTAGGCTGTGCGTACCGCCTCCAGCTATTTAGTATTTGTCTGATGACCGAAAAATCCAACGTTGAAAGCGGTAGATAGCCATAAGAAACAACAAAATCCATAGAGGCATTCAATCACGTACGTTTGTATTGGATGCGAACAAAATTCACGTCAAATTCTGTGCTAGTGTGTATATGTCCGTGCGCGCTTAACAATCTATTGTTAATACGCCTCATTAGATAAATGTTTCTGGGTAAAAATGTTTATTAGACGAAGAAAAACGCATTTGCTATACTGGAGTTTAATGAATTATTATATACTGCTACATTTGTTTGACAGGATCTGACGGTACACATCATCCGGTTACACTAGATAGTCCTAATGCCACTGACGACTGTATCCAGATTTTTGCCCAAGCAGTTTTTTAACGTTTGTATTATACATCAGTGTGCTTTTAAGGTTAATTAACTTTGTCCTTTATTATTCTTATGTCAGGGTATTATACGATGACGCATTTGTCGACTAGATAATTAGGATTTATTCTGCTTAGCCGTGTCACCCATAGTATTTTTAAAGTCTCTGAGTTAGACGTTTCACACTGCCTTAAGTACATTAAAATGCAACTACCCATTCTTAAACGATGGACATAAAAGTAAAAGTAAAAGCTCTCCGCAAGTGCACGATTAAGCTACCTAATGAAAATAGGCTTTATTTATGAGCATGTCAGACATTTATTTAGATTAAACCGCCCATAGAGTATCGACTATCAACAGTCAACTTCGTAATTAGACACAAACCGGTTTTAAAAATACAGGCAATCCTCGGTAATCGAGCCTGAAACTAATTTTCTTAATATATCCATTAAAATGTTGAAATAAACAAATGCAATAAACAGTTCCAAACGATTTCGCTCTGATTTATCAGTGATATGCTTTTTTCTCAAAATACAAACCTATCAGTTACAGAGCAGAACAGTGAAGTAAAGCTAGCTTCCTCAAACTTTGATGATCAATGTTCATAAATGCCGCACGGAATAGGAACACCTCACTTACTATCTTCATATGATCTAAATGCAAGGTTCCTTAATAGTGATAGGAGACGAAAGGTCAAGCCATTTATTGGCATTAGAACGCTCCTAAAAGCGTATAGGAAATACGGAAGCTTTAGCATCCATCCAGAAAGTTCGCCTCACGTCTAGCCCTTGCCAGTTATTCGGCAAGCGTTCTTGTCACGGATCCACGATGCTCCAGCTTGTTCCTTTGTCACAGCATCCTAAGGACATCTGTGGTAACAAGCCTCATACGACTAGCGGATTCTGTCTCCATATTGTAACGTTCTTCAATCGCTGACCGGATAGGCAGAGAAGACGAAAACGCGTTAGAG